TTCAGCACCACCAAACCAGCTCTACAACAAATGCTAAAGGAACTTCTCTAGGCAGGAAACACAAGAGAAGGAAAAGACTTACAATAACAAACCCAAAACAATTAAGAATATGGTAATAGGAACATACAGATTGATAATTACCTTGAATGTAAATGGATTAAATGCTCCAACCCAAAGACACAGACTGGCTGAATGGGTACAAAAACAAGACCTGTACATATGCTGTCTACAAGAGACCCACTTCAGACCTAGGAACACATACAGATTGAAAGGGAGGGGATGGAAAAAGATATTACATGCAAATGGAAAACAAAAGAAAGCTGGAGTAGCAATTCTCATATCAGACAAAATAGGCTTTAAAATGAAGAATATTACAAGAGACAAAGAAGGACACTACATAATGATTGAGGGATCGATCCAAGAAGAAGATATAACAATTGTAAATATTTATGCACCCAACATAAGAGCACCTCAATACATAAGGCAAATGCTAACAGCCATAAAAGGGGAAATCAACAGTAATATCATCATAATAGGGGACATTATCACCCCATTTTCACCAGTGGACAGATCATCTAAAATGAAAATAAAAAAAGAAACACAAGCTTTAAATGACACATTAAACAAGATGGACTTAATTGATATTTATAAGACATTCCATCCAAAAACAGCAGATTACACTTTCTTCTCAAGTGCTCATGGAACATTTTCCAGGATAGATCATATCTTGGGTCACAAATCAAGCCTTGGTAAATTTTAAAAAATTGAAATTGTATCAAATAGCTTTTCCGACCACAACACTAGGAGACTACCTATCAACTACAGGAAAAAAATCTGTAAAAAATACAAACACATGGAGGCCTAACAATACACTACTAAATAACCAAGAGATCACTGAAGAAATCAAAGAAGAAATCAAAAAATACCTAGAAACAGATGCCAATGAAATCACGACGACCCAAAACCTATGGGATGCAGCAAAAGCAGTTCTAAGAGGGAAGTTTATAGCAATACAATCCTACCTCAAGAAACAAGAAATATCTCAAATAAACAACCTAACTTTACACCTAAAGCAATTAGAGAAAGAAGGACAAAAAACCCCAAGTTAGCTGAAGGAAAGAAATCATAAAGATCAGATCAGAAATAAATGAAAAAGAATGAAGGAAAGGAGAGCAAAGATCAATAAAACTAAAAGCTGGTTCTTTGAGAAGATAAACAAAATTGATAAACCATTAGCCAGACTCATCAAGAAAAAAAAGGGAGAAGACGCAAATAAATAGAATTAGAAATGAAAAAGGAGAAGTAACAACTGAGACTGCAGAAATACAAAGGATCATGAGTGATTACTACAAGCAACTATATGCCAATAAAATGGACAACCTGGAAGAAATGGACAAATTCTTAGAAAAGCACAGCCATCTGAGACTGAACCAGGAAGAAATAGAAAATCAAAACAGACCAATCACAAGCGCTGAAATTGAAACTGTGATTAAAAATCTTCCAACAGGGCTTCCCTGGTGGCGCAGTGGTTGAGAGTCTGCCTGCCGATGCAGGGGACACGGGTTCGTGCCCTGGTCCAGGAAGATCCCACATGCTGCAGAGTGGCTGGGCCCATGAGCCACGGCCGCTGAGCCTGCGCATCTGGAGCCTGTGCTCCACAACGGGAGAGGCCATAACGGTGAGAGGCCCGCGTACCGCAAAAAAAAAAAAAAAAATCTTCCAACAAAGAAAAGGCCAGGAAAGATGGCTTCACAGGTGAATTCTATCAAACATTTAGGGAAGAGCTAATACCTATCCTTCTCAAACTCTTCCAAAATATAGCAGAGGGAGGAACACTCCCAAACTCATTCTACAAGGCCACCATCCCCCTGATACCAAAATCAGACAAAGATGCCACAAAAAAGAAAACTACAGGCCAATATCACTGATGAACATGCAAAAATCCTCAATAAAACACTAGCAAACAGAATCCAACAGCACATTAAAAGGATCATACACCATGAGCAGGTGGGGTTTATCCCAGGAGTGCAAGGGTTCTTCAATATATGCAAATCAATCAATATGATAAACCATATTAACAAATTGAAGGAGAAAATTCATATGATCATCTCAATAGATGCAGAAATATCTTTTGAGAAAATTCAACACCAATTTATGATAAAAACCCTCCAGAAAGTAGGCATAGAGTGAACCTACCTCAATATAATAAAGGCCATAAATGACAAACCCACAGCCAACATTGTTCTCAATGGTGAAAAACTGAAACCATTTCCACTAAGATCAGGAAGAAGACAAGGTTGCCCACTCTCACCACCACTATTCAACATAGTTTTGGAAGTTTTAGCCACAGCAATAAGAGAAGAAAACGAAATAAAAGGAGTCCACATCAGAAAACAAGAAGTAAAATTGTCACTGTTTGCAGATGACATGATACTATACATAGAGAATCTTAAAGATGCTACCAGAAAACTATTAGAGCTAATCAATGAATTTGGTAAAGTAGCAGGATACAAAATTAATGCACAGAAATCTCTGGCATTCCTAAACACTAATGATGAAAAATCTGAAAGAGAAATTAAGGAAACACTCCCATTTACCACTGCAACAAAGAGAATAAAATACCTAGTAATAAACCTACCTAAGGAGACAAAAGACCTGTATGCAGAAAACTATAAGACACTGGTGAAAGAAATTAAAGATGATACAAACAGATGGAGAGATATACCATGTTCTTGGATTGGAAGAATCAACACTGTGAAAATGACTCTACTACCCAAAGCAATCTACAGATTCAATGCAATCCCTATCAAACTACCAATGGCATTTTTCACAGGACTAGAACAAAAAATTTCACAATTTGTATAGAAACACAAAAGACCCCCAATAGCCAAAGCGATCTTGAGAAAGAGAAACGGAGCTGGAGGAATCAGGCTCCCTGACTACAAAGCTATAGTAATCAAGACAGTGTGGTACTGGCACAAAACCAGAAATATAGATCAATGGAACAGGACAGAAAGCCCAGAGATAAACCCACGCACATAAGGTCACCTTATCTTTGATAAAGGAGGCAAGAATATACAATGGAGAATGGACAGCTTCTTCAAGAAATGGTGCTGGGAAAACTGGACAGCTACATGTAAAAGAATGAAATCAGAACACTCCTTAACACCATACATAAAAATAAACTCAAAATGGATTAAAGACTAAATGTAAGGCCAGACACTATAAAACTCTTAGAGGAAGACATAGGCAGAACACTCCATGATATCAATCTCAACAAGATCCTTTTTGATCCACCTCCTAGAGAAACGGAAATAAAAACAAAAATAAACAAAGGGACCTAATGAAACTTAAAAGCTTTTGCACAGCAAAGGAAACCATAAACAAGGTGAAAAGACTGCCCTCAGAATGGGAGTAATATTTGGAAATGAAGCAACTGACAAAGATTTAATCTCCAAAATATACAAGCAGCTCATGCAGCTCAATATCAAAAAAACAAACGACCCAATCCAAAAATGGGCAGAAGACCTAAATAGACGTTTCTCCAAAGAAGATATACAGATCGCCAACAGACACATGAAAGAATGCTCAACATCACTAATCATTAGAGAAATGCAAATCAAAACTACAATGAGGTATCACCTCACACCAGTCAGCATGGCCATCATCAAAAAATCTACAAACAATAAAGGCTGGAGAGGGTGTGGAGAAAAGGGAACCCTCTTGCACTGTTGGTGGGAATGTAAATTGATACAGCCACTATGGAGAACAGCATGGAGATTCCTTAAAATCTAAAAATGGCACTATCATAACACCCAGCAATCCCACTACTGGGCACATACCCTGAGAAAACCATAATTCAAAAGGGTCATGTACCACAATGTTCATTGCAGCTCTATTTACAATAGCCAGGAAATGGAAGCAACATAAGTGTCCATTGACAGATGAATGGATAAAGAAGATGTGACACATGTATACAATGGAATATTACTCAGCCATAAAAAGAAATGAAACTCAGTTATTTGTAGTGAGGTGGATGGATCTAGAGACTGTCATACAGAGTGAAGTAAGTCAGATAGAGAAAAACAAATTCTGTATGCTAACACAATCTATATGGAATCTAAAAAAAAAAATGGTTCTGAAGAACCTAGGGGCAGGACAGAAATCAAGATGCAGACATAGAGAATGGACTGCAGGACATGGGGAGGGAGAAGGGTAAGCTGGGATGAAGTGGGAGAGTGGCATGGACATATATTCACTAACAAATGTAAAATAAGATAGCTAGTGGGAAGCAGCTGCATAGCACAGGGAGATCAGCTCGGTGCTTTGTGTCCACCTAGCGGGGTGGGATTGGGAGGATAGGAGGGAGATGCAAGAGGGAGGGGATGTGGGGATATATGTATACGTATAGCTGATTCACTTTGTTATACAGCACAAACTAACACTCCATTGTAAAGCAATTGTATTCTAATAAAGATGTTTAAAAAAAAAAAGAATCTGCTGTATAAAAAAATAAAGAAATAAAATTTAAAACAAAAAAAGACTAATAGCCAAGCTATGTGAATAGTAGAGTTGCAAAAGGACTACCTGTTTACTGGTAGTTGGATAAACATTTGCCCCAAAACCTGTTTTGGACACTTGTGTAAACTTTTCAGGTGAAGAAAAAATATAAAACCTACAAGTTTACTAATTTGAAATAAGTTTTGAGAGTCTAGTCTGAATTTACACAGATTACTTGAGGTTAAAATAGAGGCTCGTCTCAAAGATCCTGTTTAGCTCTGCCAATTCCAAAATAGATAGAATTTGACTGAAAATGTAGAACTAATTAAAAAATTTTAAAAAGACACTTTGAAATAAAACTTAGTATTATGGAAATTAATTGAGTTAAGTGAAGATAACCTTGGAGTTGGATGAATGAAATAAGCAACGGATAATTTTTTTGCATGCTGTCATATTTGGTATTACTTTTAATTTAAGAGGAATAACAACCTTTACTGTACCTGACGAGGGGTTCTTTCTGATTTACTCCTACACCATTCCCAGTCTGAAAGGTCTGGTTTCTGACTCTCCTCATGAGAAAGTCTTCTTTCTGGCCCTTCCAAAAGGGTGGTTTCATCATATTTAATATCACCTTCTGTTTTTTCAGAGAGCAGTGGATCAACACCCTTTTCATTGTGGGAATCCTGTTTAGCATCTATAATATCAGTGTTTGTGCATTTGTTGATGCCTTTTAGTGTGGAGCTGTCCAGAGAGGGCGTGGTGCTGATTTCCACCTTTATGGCATTGAATACATTATGAGAGTCTCTCTGAGAGTCTTTTGTAGTTTTGCACTCATAGTTCATGAGATTGTGATAGGATATTGAATTTTCATCATCATCATAGTAATCTTCATGTGCTATTTTATAAATTCCATAACTTCGTTGAAATGATAGATTGAATTCAAAGCATCTCCTCTTGGCTATGTAAAAACAAAAACAAAATTCCATGATTAGGAAGATAGATATAAACAGTGCTTGGATATACAAAATGAATAAAAATAGGAAAGTGAATTCAACCTGATTAGTTGAATTATCTTCGTTTACTTCTTGTCAATTATGCAAAGCAACTGTGCCTCACAAATTCAACCATCATATCACTCTGGGCCTAACTGTTCTCACTTACAATGGAAGGCTTGAAATACATACAACCCCAGAACGCTGAAGTCTTTAAAGAAATTTTATGTAAAAAATTGATCCATAAATTAGAATAGTCTCACATCCACTCAGTTTTAGTTTTAGCTCTATCAGTCTACCAATTATCTCTACATTTCTTTATTTGGGGATAAAATACATTGTTTATAAATTTTATTTTGCTACAACTTAATTATTAAAAAGCTCTTAATATTACTTGAGCTATTCTGCTGGCAATACCAACAACAGATATAACTGCTTTAAATATTTTGATGTATATCATTCCTGACATTTATATGTTTATAAATGCATACAGTAAAAATTAGATAATGCTACAATACAGTTTTTAAACTTTTAAAAATAATATGTACATTTCTGAATAAATTTGAAATGAATTTTAAAGAAGAGTCTATAGACATATTTCTGTGAACTGAAGCACTTTACAACATGTATATACCTGATTAACTACAAGAGCAGTTTAACAGGAACACATAAAACTTTCCATGGTTTAAATCAGGTGAAATATGATAGTATCTTACATATAGCACTAGTATTTGGTGAATACTGTATAAAGTCTTAGTAGAATAACACATGAGAATGTGACAGAAGTGATACAATTGTTGTATGTGAACATCATTAAATACTAGATAATTTTTGTGTATTAAGAATGAAGCTATACCAAGATGGTAGACAAAATGCAATATAATGTTTTGATTTTCATCTTTCAAACATGGCTCATTGCAAAACGTTTTTCTACTTGGATAGTTCTGTGTTTTATAGCATACATTTAGCTATCCTTGGTGGAAAAATTTATTAAAAACTATAAAATTTCTATGAGAACAGGTAAAATTTGATTCATTTTACAATACAACCTCATGTCATTCATATGCTGATTGTATTACTGAAATTGTCTCAGAACTGAAGATTTACAAACCAATTCTGCTGACTGAAAGAGAATTTATAGGTATCACTTATTATTTGAGCCAAAACATTCATTGAGCCAGGATACAAACAAAAATTTCTATTCAAAGAAAATGGAAAAGTAGAAACAGATGTTAACATTATACACTATTTCATTTACAGTACTACTTAACTTTTTCTAGTAATATAGTCCAGTAAAATTAAATTAGAATTTTTAAGTTACTTTAATAGTGTGAAAGCTGAAGGAACTAAAAGACATTTTAGTTATTGTTGGGTTTCCTTTTTCTCTAAAAAAAGTTATAAAGTGACAAGTGGTCAATTCAAGGATATTAAGCAAACAAAAACTGTCATAAAATCCCAATTTTATCATATAAATGGATATCTATGGCTATACATTTTATTAGCTGTGTATTATAACTATGAAATATATAAAGCAAAAGTGAGTAAGGCTTTTAAAGAACTGTGCAGAATGTGTCGATGGAGAATCTCCTTCCACATCACTGGGTGCAAGAAGCAGTCTGAGGTAGGCTATGAGAAGGAAGTGTGATTGAGAAAGATACAGTGGGGAACTAGAGCATTCCAGGGACAGTTATGCACAAAGGTCATGACATTTAACAAAACAACAACCCTACATAATAAAAGGCATATTGGTTCTATTTTGCATTTGAGAAAACTGAGGCTGATAGAAGAAACCTACCTAAGATTACTTACCTGGTAAAGAGATTTTAATTTAAAGCTGACTCCAGAATTGAAGTCATTAACCTCTATGTGAAATTGCTTTACTGCTAATCAGATCCATGAAGTATGTTAATGGAAGCAGAATGTCTCTGATGTGCTATCTTTGAGTTAAGGGAAGTACATTAATTATGAAATGTAACCAATAGAAACATTTCTTGTTATTGATTTTTCCTTAACACTAGAGGTAAATTCTGACTAACCAATGAAGGTAATAGGCTATAACAAAAAAACAGAGTTGACAATATTTGACTAGTAATTTACAAGAAACTTAGAAGAATAGAGTCAGGGTCTTTTGAAGTCTACAGTACACTTATGAAAAATAAGTATAATGTTACATTTGCTCTGAAAAGCAAAACCCTGGATACAGCATGAAATAGCTCTAGTCTTCTGCTTTTAATCACATCTTACTAATGACAATTTTAGACATAAGTAATTATATCAGCTTATATATATACATAATTCTTCAGAGTAACATGTCAGCAGATACTTTGACTTTGTCAAAAAACAGAAGCTGAAAATCTGATTTTTATAGAAAATATTTTATTTTAACTGTTTATTTAATTTAAAAAAGAACACATCATGTCATGCAAACCAAATGGGTCTGAAAGCCATATCCAATCCATATGTCTACCACCTGAGACCTCTGTGTTAAAACCAGCTTTTTTTAAACCACTTTTGTTTTGAGACACTAGTAATACAGATTATTGTTGAAAACAGGAGAGAACTATTATTTCTGGAAATTATTTTCCATTACTGACATTCATTTTCTGGCTGCATGTCTCTCAGTATCCATACAGTGAAGCTGAGATGTAGAATTATGCTTACATCACCAAAATGAACCTACGGTAAATATGAGTTAGGAAAAAATATTTTCCTTTTCTTGTTTCTGGAGTTCCCAGCAAAAGAATGTAAAAGGGGGATATTAATTTGTTAAGGAGAAAAAGCTTAAATGTGACACTGGAGCCATCAAAGTACTATAACTACATAGAATCAAAGTACTACAACTGATCAAGCACCTGCCCACCTGAGGATGAGCCATCTTTGGAGTTTCAAAATTCTGTTTTTGTGTCATCCTAGCAATAGGAAAATTTATGGTGGGTCCTCAGACAGGGAAAGTACATCATTCTTATAATTTTCCTGTGGCAGAGCCTAGGATCAAGTGAGAGAGTGCCATGGACATATATTCACTACCAAATGTAAAATAGATAGCTAGTGGGAAGCAGACACAGCACAGGGAGATCAGCTCAGTGCTTTGGGACCACCTAGACGGGTGGGATAGGGAGGGTGGGAGGGAGACGCAAGAGGGAGGAGATATGGGGATATATGTATATGTATAGCTGATTCACTTTGTTATAAAGCAGAAACTAACACACCATTGTAAAGCAATTATACTCCAATAAAGATGTTAGAAAAAAAAAAAAGAGAATGGAGCCATTTTAAACTAACGTTTCTCACAACATTTTATTTTCGAAGCCATGCCTCTCTAAGCTCACATTTCAACACCTTCCCTGAAATTTTAAAATGAATACAAATAAGGGCAACGATAATTTTAGAGGAAAAATATTATTTTGATCTTGAAAGTCATGGTTCTAATTTCAAACATGAGATATTAGCAGGATTATTGATTCTGCTAATCTGCTGTAGTTTCTTCTATTTTGTGCAGTATAAGACAGAAGTGCTTCCTAGACCATTTATAGGGATAGATCTGTTGCATTGCTTTGTTTTCAGCTCTGATAGAGGTGCCCTTCAGTTCTTAAAAATGACTGCCCTAAATTCTTCTTGTCTCTCTCACAATTTTAAATACTCTAAGATGGGGTTAGTTCATTAATTTAGTGACAAAATATTAATGTTTGATAGAATGGTAGAACTTTCAGGCTTGTAAGTGATTTTTACATGTTCTATGTTCTTCTATGTGGTTCAAAAAGATTTATTATTAATTTTCTGTGTCAGTGTTGCTCTGGATATTAATATCCAAAAGCACATAATTATTACAAGTTCCATGGCTATTTTATTTTAAGGGCATAGATGAATTTGGCATCTATTAACAATAAAACTTCATGGCATCCTTAATACTAAAAAAAATCTTCTGGTCATTTGAAAATTATCTAGACATTAAATGTCATGAATACATGGAAAATGACCAGTTCATGACTATTTAATGTTTATAAAATAAACCTGTTGAAGAACTGATTGCAGAATATTCTTTAATAGTCTCCAGTTTTCATAGCCCTAAAATAGTCTAAGATGGACTGTTTTTATTTATTCTTTCTTCTCTGTTAAAGAATAATATACTTGCTTATTCTGAGCAAAGGACAATTAATGGAACAGTTAATTCAGCATACACTAATGTAGTCTTGGATTTATTAAATGGTAGAACATCCTATCTTTTGTCTGGAATGACAAAAAAAATCCTTTTCCTTATGGAAGAGTCAAAATATACAGGTCATTCTTCAACTTTTCCTGTCTCAGAATAGGAACAATTACACTCTAGTGAGTTTTATAATTGACCGCACTCCTGGTCTAGAGGTACTCTTTAGAACATAGTTGGTTTTTTTTTTTTTTTTTTGGTTTGTTTGTTTGTTTTAAGTAACTGGCATGGCTAGATTCATACATGAACATACATTGACAGACTCTGCCACCTTTGTCCTTTTTTGAAATTATAGGTGTTTGTGGGGTTGTTTTGTGTATATATGTATGTTTTCTAAAAGCAGAGGCAAACACTTAAAATTTGTTTTGGAATTGTTTTTAGTCACTCCTATTGCTTACTCTGAAAACTTTCCAAAACCCTGGAAGAATATAAGCAGCAAACTAAAGAAAATGCTTTTCTTTCCTGTTCCACTCAGCAATAATGAACTTTAATATAATGAGTTTTTAACTTTTCAAAGATGCAGACTTCTCATACGTAGATTTGGGAGGGGGAGTTATTTTCTACTCTAGGCTAAGAGCTATGGTGGATATAACACCTAAAGGCCTTTGTTGACTTCATGCTGTTTTGAATAAATTCTCTTCTTTTCTTACCTAAAATAATTATTCAATGTACAAGCAGTTCACAGAGCTGTTTTAAACTTGCCTCATTTAAAACTTACTCCAATATTGTGCTAACGATTGTTTCACATTATAATTTCTTCCATTTACCACTTCATTTGTCCTTGGACTCTTCATCCCCTACTAAGGCAACTCTCTCAACAGGCCACCTTTCTGTATTTGACCATATGCATATTGTTCCCAACCTCTGCACTGTTCAGGACTTACGTTTTTTCCCATCAGACGTCACTGCATATGTGTTCTGCTTGCAGTTGATGATGCAGCCACAGGGCAAGTGTGTCCAGTGTTTGGACAAGACAAACACTGGAGTTACAGTGGTGGCCAGGAGGGTTAGCAGAAAGCTGAGCGTCTCAAAGGGAAGGCTCTGAAACCCCACGACGTGCTGGACCACCATGTGGATCTGCAAAAGCAGAGAGCTTCAGACCTATCCTAGGATAACATTTTCCATTTTGCCAAGCCTTTCCCTCAAGCATGCTGCCCCAGCTCCCTTCTCCAGGGCCCTTTCCTGTCTGAGAGCCAGAAGCTCTATTCCTGGGCTGGCATCCTCAGTTTGGGTGATGGACTGGGAATCCTTGGGAGGAGGCCCGCTGCTCCAGACTGCACAGGCTTTGAGGGTTTCCACTCTTGACAGCCTGGTCTGTGCTAGCTGCCAGCTCAAGTTTCCACCAGGGAAACACAGTCACAATACAGAAAATGCTATCCCAGAAAACAGGCAAGCATGTGTGAAACCTGTACCTGGTACTCCAGATGTCCTTTGTCACATCCCTGGCCCCTCACCTCTGCCAGGTTACGCTTGTCACACTAGGGCACCACCTGCCACCTCTCAGCTGAGCTCTTTCCTGGAGGCTTGAACAAAAGCCTGTTTTGTCTACTTTCTGCTGTCTCTACTTCTGACCACGCCTCTCCTGTCTCCCTGCTGGGGATGGGCGGTGTCCTTACTAGGGAGGAATGGAGCAGAGGGAAGGGCATGACAGAGGACTGGGGGCAAAAACCCTCTTTACTGAATACTCCCAGATATCGCTACGAGAGAAAAGGACACCCTTGACCATGAGAGATCTCAGAAAACTAAGTCTCTCGCGCCTGAAAGCACTCCCTATACTCCTCCCCAGTTTTTTTTTTTTTTTGGCACGCGGGCCTCTCACTGCTGTGGCCCCTCCCGTTGCAGAGCACAGGCTCCGGACGCGCAGGGACCGGGGCACGAATCCGCACCCCCCGCACTGGCAGGCGGACTCCCAACCACTGCGCCACCAGGGAAGCCCCTCCTCCCCAGTTTTGAACCGAGAAGCACTTAGCAGCAAAGGCTTCGCGGCTGCTAGTCCTACCCGTGAACTGCCTTCCTCCAAGTGCTTCTCTAAAACCAAGCGAGATACATTCGTAAGCGGACTTAATGCACGTCTCTGGGTGACCCTCCAAACCGGGGAGGGTGGTCTCAACACGCACTCATGCTGCCTGGCACACCCCCCCGCGCGCTGTGAGCAACCGCACTTTTACCATCATGGGCAGCCAAAGGGTGACTTTTGTCATCGCTAAGATCAAAGAAAAGCGCTTCTGCGCTACGCTCACGGTGAAGCTCCTGGTGCCATAGAGAGTCCCCCGGTCCTCACGCCTGCAGGCTCCAGCCACAGCGGTAGCACCGCGCCCCGGCCCCTGCCCCAGCCCTACCCTCGCGGGCAGACCCGGTCCAAACACGGTGTCCGAGCTCGGGGAGCATCCTCCAGAGCACCGCAGGGCCGGGCCCGGAGCATCATCTGGGGACAGGGAAAGCACTCTCCCCCGCGTTGAAGGGGTCCCTGGAGTGGAAGCTCCGCGGGAAATTTCCTGGTAGTTGGCGTGGAGTCTTGGCGGCTCCTCCGAACACAGCAACTGGTGAGTGAGGGGGACCGAGAGGCCGGCGAGGAGTCCGAAGGCCGAAGTGTACACAGCGAAAAGTAGCAGCACGTAGGAGCTGGAGCAGTCGGCCAGGCAGCCCCAAGGCGTGCGTACAAAGGCGCCCCAGCCGCACAGAGGAAGCGCGGAGAGCAGCAGACTGGCTGCCCACACCGTCAGCGCCACGCCGAGCACCTGGCCGGATCTTCTGGAGGCTGCCTGGCTCCCCACAGCCCTGTGCATCGTGTAAAAGTTGTAGGAGACTAAGAGAGTCGCCTTCAAGTTGCTCGAGAGGCCCTGGCATAAATATAGTAAGGCAGAGGTGGTGCACAGAGACTGGAAGTAGTCAGAGACCTCATTTGGCCACTGCAAAAACATGAAGATGGTCACCGACAAGACGCTCATGAGATCATCCCCAGACCAGGAAGCCACAAGCATGGACACAACAGTTCTGTTCCGCGTTTTCATTAGGGAAACTAGTGAATAAATGCTGCCTGCCAGGGCTGCGAGAGTCATTAAGCCTGTCAGGCAAAAAAGATAGATATTCACGGTTCCTGGCGGATTTAAAAGATCTGTCGAATTATGATTTTCTTTCCACAGGCTAGAGTCATTTGTTGATAAGTTACTGAGAAATACAGACATTATCCTTGGTCAATATTTAATTTCTTTTTCAATGAGTCTATAAATATTCTCAAAATTAAGCATGGCTGTTAGTTGCAAATCAGATCTCATTATCTCCTATCAAGTTTCCCTCAAGATGTTCACCAGTCAGTCCCGGCAGAAAATGGACAACTCTCCTTTAGATCTGACTCAACCCATATTTTAAAATTGGGTTCCACTTAAAGCAGCAATAAGAAACTTTTCAACATTTCAATTAAAAACAGACAAACCAAAAACTCCCTCCTGAAACCAGCACGTTTCAGGCATGAAAGCAAAACCTCCTCAAGTAGATTGAAAAACAATGATGTGTGGGTCCTTTCGGGTCCTTCTTATGGAGCAAAGCAGCTTTGGCTTGAGGTAATCAAACTCTATTCAGTTTTTAAGAGCAGTAAAATGATGCATTTGGTTCCAGAGCTGGATTCAAAGGCAGAGAGCTTATCAGGCAGTTTTCAGCTTTGCCGGTTCAGAGACAAAGAGAGACAGAGAGAAAATGAGAGAGAGAGTGAGTCACTGAGCACAGCTCCCCATCGGAACCGCTGTGTTCTTCAATCAGCCTGTGATCCTCAGAGCTGCAGGAAGGAGGAGTCAGCTCCAAGCAGGAGAGAAGCAGGAACAAAAGGGAGGGGAGTCCAGTGTGTGAGCGAAATGATGTACATCTCCTCAGCCTGCCTTATTCGGAGCAAGAGACAATGTTTTTGCTAAGCCTTCCCCTTCGGTTTTGACATATAAAACTAACCCAAATACTTGCTCAGGCTTGATGTGAATGACAAATAACCGCTTTGAGAGGTCCAAGCTACTCTACTAAGGGGCTGCTTTTACTCTTATCTAGACCTCTCTGTTCCATAATCCACTGCAGGAAGAATATCATCAATGCCATTTTTAAGAAAATAGGAGGTACCAGCTTTGTTTGTTTTAAAAATATGTATTGTACTTACTAATAAGAATGTCATTATGGTCCTCACTACACTAAAGATTTTGCAGAATCTTTGGGTGGAGCCATTCTAACTTTAGCCATGTAACTATTTTATGTCAATGTCAAAGTAAGCAAGCTTCCATTTGAATAAATAATATTTCTAGTTGTTAAAGTCAGATGGCATTATATAGGGAGTAAAAAGGAAGTTATCTCACAAAAACATTTTTAACCAGAGTATTGGGGTGTTTGGTACAACAATTGAGTCTCTGAACTCATTTTTTTAATTAATTAATTAATTAACATCTTTATTGGGGTATAATTGCTTTACAATGGTGTGTTAGTTTCTGCTTTATAACAAAGTGAATCAGCTACACATATACATATATCCCCATATCTCCTTCCTCTTGTGTCTCCCTCCCACCTCGTTGGTTTTGCAAGATGAGTGGTTTAGCAAAGAAGTAACAGACAGCAATAGTTCTGGTCAAGCATTTCCCAGGATGCTTTGGGGGTAGTATTCCTCCTCAGCTCAGCCTCGTGACCTGAGGGCTGTCTTTCCACACACAGTGCTGGAGTCTGAAGGAAAGCAGGGAAAGGGAAAGGAGAACATTCATTTGGTAATGGTCTAAGTACATGGAAGTGGCAATAGAACTCTGAACATTCCTTTCATTTTAGAGGTAACGGAAGCTACATTTTGAACCTGAATCTGTTCAAGGGAAAAGTAATTGTATTAGTCATTGCCAGCCATAACCTTCAATAAACAGTGGGCCCTTCACTTATCTTGACATATTGTTTGATTTCCCCTTCACTCAGCCACCTGTGACAGCTAGCTCAGAACTCTGGCTCTTCCTACTGATAGTAATAGACCTTGCAGTGTAGTGTGATTAAGAAGGCTCTGGGTTACCTTTCCATATGGTATTTAACCCTGGAGTTTTAGTGGGGTTGGACAATACGTATCACATTGTTCAAATGCAATGAGTGGAAATAAATAATGGCTGTCACAATACCACTTGAGGCTTGGGGACATTCCTTCTGTCATTACCATCATCTCTGGGTTTTCTATTAAATATATTTTTGAAAAGGGACAGGACACCTAACCACCATGCTGCCCTTGTCTCTACGATATGACAGAAGGGGCAAGAGTGTTAGTACATTTCCAAAGGTTGGTGGTGGAATTGCAGCCAGCAGGGAGCTAGGAGAGAAATCTGAATTTGATTCCAAACTGTGCTACTGCTGTCGTGTAAACTTGGGCAAAAATTCTTATACTTTCTCTGGGTATCTGTTTCCACATCTGTAAAATAAGGGGACTTGACTCGATTATTTTTAGGTCCTTTCAAGTTCTAAAATTGAATGATATAATTTTTAAATAGTTCAGGTTAACTTTATCTTAATTTTATTTTCTGCCTACTTCACAATAATCAACATTGAATTGATGCTTGGGTTCTCCATGCTTTCTCTTTCCCTGCTGTGATGACATGGAGGCCATTGTCAATATGAAGAAGATATAAGATTCAAGCAGCCTGGAATGTTAGGCCAACTGAAGGATCATGGCTGCCCTGGAGGGCTGTGAGAACCTATAGTAAGTTTTATATGAGTAAGAAGTAAAGTTTGTTGTGTAAGTCACTGTGTTTTGGGGGTTGATTGTTATTGGATGGTAACTCAGCTCATCCTAATACGGTTAGGTACAGAGTTGCCCCAACAGTTAGTAAGTGGTAGAGCCAGTTTTTAAAATTGTAGCCTGGCTTTGCATTCTTAATCACAACACACACACATTTTCTAATTGCCCCCTCTTAGCACCTCATGATTGGGAACACTTCCAAGGAATGTTGACAATTATAAAGTTTTGTTTCTGTTTTTCTTTCTCAGAAAGCATGTTTGAAATATCTCACTTTTCAAAGTTGTAGTTTATAAACAACCTTTTACCAAACTTTATGTTTTATAATATATATAATATATATACATACACTGTGTATATATATAATAAATATGTATATTATACATGAGTTTTTTGAGAGTTGTAAGCCTTCCCCTTAGCCATAATCTCATTTTCTTTGCAATATCCTCCTGAGCTAAAAAAAAAAAAAAAGAATCACCCTAACTGCCTTTCAAGTAACCAGGGTAACATTTAGGAGTCTGGGGAGAAAGATTTCTAAGAAGCCCCTTTGTGCCTTAGATTTACTCAGTTCTTGTGAATTAGCCTTGCTCCTCTTGTCTCATTTATGATAAATCTTTAAACCTTCAATTATTGAAAATCCTGTCTGCAAATTACTTAATAATGCAAATTTAACTTGATTTAAATTGACATTACGATTACACCAGAACAGCTTAAGTGAAGATGTTATTTATTGTCCCACTGCTGCTTTGGTTACTTTGAAACATATAGCATTAGAGACTATAAAACAACCTAGAGAGAATTTCATGGAAAAAATTTTGTTAGGCTTTTAGTTTATGAAGTCCTTGATGTGATTGTACCTTTGCAAAGAACTGCAGGCAACTCATTTTTCTAACAGTCTACATTATATCTGAAAATCCTCAAAAAGTAGGAAACAGCATAAAAAATTCTGGCTGAATATGGTTAAATAACATCCTTAGCAATGCAGAGCTTTGGCAATAAAAAAGTAACCACAGAAACAGATGGAAACATTTAGTCTTGTATTATGAAAATTTTAAAAAAAGCATCACAGATAAACTTAATCATGAAGATATAACATTTCTTTGTTTCTAAAAATATAGGATGTAACCAAAACATTTTAAAGGACTGGCCCAGGTTAAGACTCTTACTAACTTATCATCAAAGCTCAAGCGAAAGATATCATAAATTATCCAATGCATATGCATACATATACATAATATGTAAAGTCTAGAATTTATGAATATAAATATATAATACACATATAAATTTATAACCTATGTGAATATATATGTGTAAAATACAGATTGTATTAAACATATGCATACTCTGCTTTAGCTGATAGTTTCCAAAAAAAGTCACCAGCAATTTGGTGTCATAGGAGAGCCCAAATGCTGTGATTTATTTTCTTCTTTTTCAAAGTCTCATCAGAAATGTACAATATTTAAAACTGTCTAATAACTTTGAATAAGGACACAATTTAACTTAGCGCCAAGTCAGAGAGACTAACTTCATATATATATGAATGTGTATATATGTTAATGTAGAACAGTTACAGAGAGAAATAGGTTTACTGTTAATGGTCACTCTTTTTATTCATTCTGGGGAAAGATCTTGACCATGGTAGTTCTGAAGGTCCACCTAGTCATATAATAAAGATTATATCTGGAGGAGAGTTTTAATATAGAGCTGTGGGAAGCATTGAGTGGACTGAGAATGACTGAATCCACTCCATAGAATAAAAATATAAATAATATATAGTTATTCTAACCATAATTATACAGTGTAAACTTTCATTCATTCAACATTCGTTTGAGTGTCTAAAGTTCAGACAATGTGCATTAACGATGAACAGAACATTAGAGTTCCTGCCCTTATGAAGCTCATGGTCTAGTTATTTTTCATACTATCTTCTTCTCTAAATTCCTCTCTGAAAATAATCTCTCATCCCAAGGGAGTCCACACAATAAATATTTAATGCTTAGGATGAGAATGTCCTTATGCACAACAAATTGACCAAGCCTTAAATTAGTAATGAAGTAATACAGGAGGGCCCCTGTACCTTATTTTTTGGGCTATAAGGTTTCAAAGAAATTATTTCAACATCTCAGTATCTTGAGGATAGAATAATATCCTCAGCTCAGTACTATGACTATAAGTGATATACGAAGCAGTTCTGATATTATTTTTTAGTTTCTTTGCACTGGGGAGCTGGTGAAATCTCTTAAGTAGCTATGAGAGTAGTTCTTGATTCTGGTCCAGATTTCTCTTCATCCCGCACGGCCCATGTTATGCTGATCCTTAATTTTTATGTGACCATCCCCCCTCCCAGCCCCACCACCACCTCCACGTTGTTCGCGAGCCATACCAGTGCGTGCTGGGACCTTGCTGCCTTTTAAATAAAGCCTTCCTTAGTATTTCAGAAACTTCTCAGTCTCTACA